AAGCGATCTTTTCGAGCATGCGGTTGTGCCGCACGCCCCCCCTGAACGCGTAGATCACCGCGTGTGCAGGGATGCATGGTATAGTATTGCGGACTTGGCAAAACCGCTGAATGTACGAGCGAAGCGACTCATCATCGCCTCGCTGTACTGCATGCAAGTCCGCTTCTTCGCCTGGGCGCGGATATGTGCCTTGGAAGTTCATGGTGAACTGTTGGCACAAATCTTCCCAGGAGTGGACCGACGCGGGTGGCAGGTTCATTAGCCAACCCCGCGCCTGTCCTTTTAGGGCCATGGGAAAGAAGTTCGCCATGACCCTGTCGTCACCCCCAGCGGCCTCGATCCCGGTCGTATAGACCTGGAGAAACTCGGTGGGGTTGACGCTCCCATCGTACTTCTCGGTGATGGTGGGCCGGAACCTTGGGGGCCAACGGACATTCCGAAGACTCGCCACAAAGGCTCTACAGCCAACACCACCGGCCGGGGGCACGGAGGGCTGATCCTCACGTCCATGTCGAGGTGACACTCTGGACGAGGAGGCGCCCTCCGTTGCACGGGGAGTACGCCGGCTATTACGCCGGCGCTCGATGTTGAGGCGGGCATCTGGCTCCCCATGCTGATCCTCCCGAGTCGAAGGTGTCGACGAGGGAGTGGCAGCCGAATGCCGTGCAGCCGCCGCCGCTCGCCGCGCCCTCCGCCTTGATGACACGGAACCGGTGGTGGCGGCGCCGGAAGTCTTGGTGGTGGCGGACCGTCCACCAGCACCCAGGCGCTGCTGGGCCGTCACGACCAAGTTGGCCACGTCGTCCAGCCATCGCTGAGCTGGAGACTCAGGGTCATGGACGACGGGTGGGTGACGTAGGAGCGCGCTAGCAGCCTGAAGCGCGCCCTGAGGCGTGCTGCCGTCGCCGTAGACGAGGAGGCGACGCTCCCCATCTCGCCGTTCTCCTACATCACCCGCGACCGGTGATGCCACGGATTTGTCGACCCTCTCAAGCGCCTCCCCCTGCTTAGGGCTTTGGCGCGGAGGAGGTGGGGGAGTACGAGCTCGACGGCGTGGATTCGGCTCCCCGTCGTCGCCGCTCACACTCGGAGAGAGGTCGTGCGCTTTTCCTTGCTCGGCCATTAGGCTGAACAAGAAAAACTTGGCGCCCACGGAAGAGTCTGAGAGCTCAGAAAACACACACTGAGTCCCCTACCTGGCGCGCCAGATGACGGAGCTCGTGGCCCCTCACCGGGAGACTGCGCAAGCCCCCCTTTGCCGGTTCGACCAGGGGCTTAGGGTGCAATCCCAAGCTCTCTCTCTCTCTGTATGTGGAAAGATCACCCGTCCGCAAGACACACGAGACACGGCGATGTATACAGGTTCGGGCCGCTGCCAAGCGTAATACCCTACTCCTGTGTTTTTGTGGATTTGTGTATGGACAAGTTACAAAAGATTAACTTCCTTTCCCCTCTCAGCCTTTCAAAAGGGAAGAAGTCTCCTCTCTAAATGGGCAAGGTCCTCCTTTTATATCTCAAGGGGATACCACATGCACCTTTCTCTTTCCAAACTGGACTGTTCTTTTTCTCTTTAATGGGCGGAGATCAGTACGGTTTCCATCCGGGAGCCCTTCTGATGGGACAGCCCACACCTACCTCCACTCCTGCCGGGGGCAGGCGCGTCGTGGGAACGTGGCCGTGCGCTGACAACATGAGCAGTGCCAGACCGGTCACAAATCGGTCATTCTTGTCCACCGCGTGTCAGCTTAGCAACATGCATGTTTGCCCTTCTTCACACAACATCTTGCCTGTAATGGTTAGGATGAAGCCTGGCATATATCGATCGGGGCTAACGTGCCATCTCCGGGATGTAACACGCTAGCTCCAGCTGGGGACGAGTGCCTAGAGGTTCTCGTCTTGACGGGATGGGGCGAGGCGTGCGTCAGACCGCCAGTCGCCACCTAACCGTTGATCTGACCGGTCTGTGACTGGTCACAGACCGGATAAAAGAGCGCGCTGCATTGCGCTGCATGCAGCGTGACACGCTTGACCAGACCGCAATAAATGCGGTTAGGTGAGCACAGCTGTGCTCACTTATCCCATATATATGGCGCAGACTTCCTTAAGGGGTCGGGGTGCCTCGGCCCTCGGGGCCGGGGCAAGCGCAACCCGACCCCCCCTCGGGGGAAATCAGGAGGAGGGCGGACACCTCACCCTCGGGCCCGACGTCCCCGAAGGTGCCAGGCCACGTGGGCGATTGTGTCTGCCTCAAGCCTCTGGTCATGATACTCCCGGTCCCATATCACCGACACACTACTTGTGGGCCCATGGCCATTTTTAAAAATTGAAAATTCCTACCTTGTAGGCTTTTTCACCTTGGAGCTCATGTAGAGCTGGCCGACTATTGTCGCCCGTTCCTACTACCTTTTTTCTTCTCTGTCCTACAGCCTCGTTAGTTTTACTGAGATGGCTACCGGTTATTGTACCCGCTCTCATCTGGCTGTCTGATCTTTTTTGCGTGCATGACAGCCTGAAGATGTGCTCTCTGAAGACCCTGTTGTCTTGTGGACCTTTTGATGTTCTGTTAGCCTGAAAAGCTTGTTAAGTTTCTCTGCTTAGGACTGTTAATTGTGGTTGTTTAAGGCTGAATGAGCCGGAGTTGTGATGCTGTGCCGATAATATTCCTTTTTTATTTATTTATTTTGGCCAGAAATAAGAAAACATAAGTAGCACATCATCTACTCCCATTTTCGTGATGCAAATTTATTGACCAGCGGTTCAATCACATATTTACACCAACGAAATTGTTTTATATATATATATATATATATATATATATATATATATATTCAATTCAACCATACACAAATACAAACAAAGGGTAATCGATCACTGATGCTATTCCTAATGCAGAAGAAGAAAATGATGCAAATGATATGTATTTCATTCGCTCATATACAACGATAGAGCGATGAATCACTGCTGCACAACGCTTACTGTGGTTGCCATCAATTTTTTGCCGGGTCGGGTGGTTGCCATCAATTTGACATAGTCCTTTCTAATCTTCTTCAGTGTCACGACCACATCGCTCATCGCCGTCCTTTGCTCGGGGGAGTCAGCCGAACAGAGCAAGCCCAGCTCGAACACTGGCACAAGGAAGCCATGCATGTTACCTGCGGCGGCTACACGATACACCAACCCACTGGCAGAACGGCGTGCCGACGGTCCAGTTGCCGGTAAGGTGAAGGATGTTGTTAGGATCAGAGAGCTGGGCTTTCAAGGCAAGCAGTGCAGAGAGGTCGGTGTCGCTGCTGTTGCTCCTGCTCTGACCTAGAGAGGGAGTAGCAGCAGCAGCCACAGTGGATGAAGTGATCAAGAACAACACAACGGATATGCATAATATTGGAGATGCAAACTCCATGTTTGGGCTCTGATGCATTGCCAAGATGATGGTGGGGATGATCAGCTTGAGATTTACTCCATCCGTCTCATAATATAAGGGATTTTGAGTTTTTGTTTGTATTATTTGACCACTCGTCTTATTTAAAAAATTTATGCAAATATATAAAATGAAAAGTTGTGCTTAAAGTACTTTGGATAATAAAGTAAATCACAAAAAAAATAAATAATAATTTTAAAATTTTTTGAATAAAACGAGTGGTCAAACAGTGCAAGCTAAAACTCAAAATCCCTTATATTATGGGACGGATAAAGTATTTAGCTCTCTATTCCACTGTACATGTATGCTGCATCCAACCATCTATCACCTTCAACATCCAAGACTTTGACTACCAGTCAACCTGAGGTCAACAATTACAGGAAACTACATTATGAACTTTTTTTTTTCGGGAATACGCAAAAGATTGCGCACTTTTGTATTAAGAGACTATAAATCTTATCTAGCTCCTCTACTGTTCCCATTTTAAAAGGGGGTAAATGAGACATTTAGTGCAGGAATCAGTGCCGGGGAGAATGATGTTTTTACTTGTAGCCGCATCGATCATCTAGGGAACCTGCACTGCAACCAGAGGGCCAGGAGCACAGATCCGCCATGCTCACGCGCCGCCGGAGGAGGCAGCCGGCGGCCACCGCAGCGGTCCTCAGAAAGGACCATTTTGGAAATACTACTACTCATAGCGATCAAAATCGGGTGTTGTTTTGTAAATTTCAGTACCGAAAATTAATATTGGTTAAGTAAAGGAACCTTGATGAAAAGAGGTTAAGGATTACGATTTGTATAGTTGGGTAATGGGTACCAATCTGAGCCGTTGGTTCTTGTCGCCGGAGACGGAGAGGAGTTCGCCGCCGCCGCCGACTCTCTCCGACGCCGCCGCGGGCTCCCTGTCCTACCCAGGACTCCGCCACTGCTCCCATCTCCTCGTCCATCTCCAGTTCCTCCACCAACTGCTCATGCCGCCCCAATCTCCAGTACCTCTTCGCTCCGGCCAGCTGCAAATCGCCGCCAAGATCCAGGACCACCTCGACGCTGCCGCGTGCGCCGGAGTTGGCTGAGTGGCGACGCACCCTGCGGGTATGCTGCTTCAATCTCGGAGGAAGGAAGGATTTGAGGGTAATGGTCTCTGCGAACCCCCATGAAAATATGTGCTTTTATTGAACTCCAATGCTCACTTGAACCATCTCATATCCAACATCTACACATTGCTTGATCTCTTCATCTACTAGATATCTTTGTTCTTAGTAATGATTATCTCTTGGACTGTTGCGTTCCATTTCCCATTGGGTAGTGTTCGTTGTTCTCTCCATTTCTATGTTGTCAAAAAAAAAAAAGATTGTGCAAATTGGAAAGAGGATATGAGGAAGACTATATATCCTATGGGCTATGAACAGAGCGGGCATGTCAGGCAACCAGTGAAGCCCATGTCTTAATGTCCAATGTCTGCACCCAAACTTGATTCCTTTTCTAGGTTTACAATGTTCTTTTTTCTATTATTATTATTTTCACCTGAAAGTAAGCACATTCAAGCAACATCCATCATTTACTCCCATTTTTACAGTGAAAATTCATGAAGCAACAGATCAATCATACATGTACACCAATCAAATATTGTGTAACTAACGAACAGAAGAAATATGTTCATATTCGACCATAATAAAGATATAGAGGCAAAGATTAATCGACCACTGGACATGTTGCTGATGCTATTCTCTTGTTATTCTTAATGCAGAAGCAGAAATGGACACAGAGGACAATTCATTCTTTCGTATATGCAGGCAGGGCCACGCTCCCTGTCGTTGATATCGATTTGACATAGTCCTTCCTAATCTTCTTCAGTGTCACAACCACGTCACTCATCGCCATCCTTTGCTCCGGGGAGTCGGCTGAACAAAGCAAGCCCAGCTCGAACACTGGCACAAGGAAGCCATGCAAGCTACTGGGAGAAGAGCAATCTTGTAAAAGTCGGGTGTCCAGTACATGGACAAGCTCTACCGGAAACGCCTGGTAAACCCACTGCCTTATGTTCAGTTCCCCCACAAACATAGCATCTGTGGGTCTCTTCCCAGTGAACACTTCGAGTAGCATGATCCCGTAGCTGAACACATCGCTCTTTCGTGATGCTTTTCCAAGAGCACCATATTCTGCAGGAATAAAATTGGTCAATGCTTATTGATTGCACCATACGATAATTATGAAAATACCACTACTTTGAGCAAGAGTACAGAAGCTGCTAGTACCTGGTGCCATATACCCAACTGTTCCCGGCATACTCGCAGAGATCATGGAGCTGTCATCACCTAACAATAACCTTGCAATGCCAAAGTCCGATACATGTGCAGTCATATCATCGTCAAGTAGCACGTTGCTAGGCTTCAAATCACAGTGTAGGACCACTTCATGGTGCTCATGATGCAGGTATTCCATTGCCATTGAAACATCTAGCATAATGTCCACCCTCTCAAGGAAACCTAATTGCATTCTTCCTTCAGAGTGCAGGAGTGCCTCTAGGCTACCATTGGGCATGTACTCTAGAATAAGTGCTCTGAAGTCTAGGTTGGTACAAGTGTTCAATATCTTTATCAAGTTTCGATGTCTAGCCATTCGAAGCACATGACATTCCGCATCAAAGCTTCTCATGGCATGTTCTAGATGTTGGTGTATAACTTTTATGGCAACCACCAAACTGCTACTCAGCTGACCCTTATAAACTTTTCCAAAGCTTCCAGCCCCCAACATGTTATCATAACTGAAATTATCAGTAGCACGGACAAGCTCATGGTAGGAGAGTAATCTGTTGCTGATCATGTCAACCATACCAGAAGAAATCATTTGATGCTTCTTAACTTTCATTCGGATGACTACATATAGGCTGAAAGCAAAAGCTCCAACTACTATGGTTATAGCAGGGAGCAGATATTTTAGCTTGTGACCATTTCTTTTGGGAGAGGTTGTTTGGCATGGTGGAAGCCCTAAATGTGCAACACCACATAACCCTGAATTCCCCACCAAGGATTGCAACGTGATGTTTGAGAATACACCCCCTTTTGGTATCTGACCATGAAGATTGTTGAAAGACAAGTTTAAGCTAATGAGGATGGTAAAATTGGCTAGATACTTCGGGATGGTACCAGAAATGTTGTTATGGGATAGATCCAAAGTCTGCAAGCCGGTTAAGTTAGCAAAAGAATCTGGAAGTGAACCATTGAATAAATTAACAGATAAGTTCAAGTAAGTAATCATTTGAAGTTGCCCAATCGAATCTGAGAGGCTACCAGTAAAATGGTTGGTAGAGAGATCCAGGATGTTAATTTGCTTTAAATCGCCTATACCAACTGGCAATACACCACTCAAGAAGTTTTGAGACAGATCTAGCTTCATGAGGCTATTAAGACGAGATAAACTTGGTGGTACATTTGATGATAATTGGTTATCAGATAATACTAGGTACTCTAACTTGGAGAGGTTGCCCATGTCCTCTGGTAAGGAGCCAGAGAATTTATTGCTCTGAAGGAATATTTTTTCTACACTCTTTAGCATTCCAGCGTTTGATGGGACAGAGCCAGCCAAGCTATTTCCACTGAGATCAAGTTGAAGGAGATTCTCCATCTCCATGATTGATTCTGGTATTGTACCATGCAGTTGGTTATTCGAAAGGTCTAGCACAAGGAGGCCAGTTAAATTGGAAATGGTGGTTGGAAGTTCACCAGCTAGCTTGTTTCCATGTAAACTGAATAATCGCAGCGTACTAGACAGGTTACCCACGTAGTTTGGGAGGTTCCCGGTGAGATAATTGGAGTAGATACTAAGGAAATAAAGCTCTCTACAGTTAGAAAGAGCAGACAGGAATTCGAGACCCCCCTGCAGGCGGTTTGCCCCAATATCAAGTACCGATAACGATCTGATGCTACCAACTGTTGTTGGTAATGATCCATTCAGTAGGTTTCCCTCCAACACTAGCATGGCTAATTCGGACATGTTACCAAGAGATGCAGGAATGGTTCCTGTTAGCTGATTCTGTGAGAGATGCAGTTTCTCGAGTTTGCCAAGCTGTCCATACTCTGGCGGAATGGCTCCAGTGAGGTTGCTCCATGAGAGATCTAGGACACTTAGCATGGTGAGGTTGCTTAGTGAAGCAGGGATTGGACCAGCATCAAAGTGATTCATACCCAACACAAGGATAGTGAGATTCGTGAGCTTGCTCAGCCATGCAGCTGAGGCTGTGACAACACCTTCAAAATAATTTTCAGACAGGGAAAGAACTTGGAGGTACTGACACGATGCGAGCCCCAGTGGAATTTGACCAGTGAAATTGTTGCCATCGATGGAGAGCCATTGGAGAGCTGGTAGGTTGAAACTTGTGTTGCCCGCGATAGGGCCGGTTAAGAAGGTGTTCAGTCCAAGTGCAATAACACGCAATGTGGACATATTGAAGATGCCTGGTGGCACCGGTCCTGCGAGAAGGTTGACCTGCATGTTAAGGTGTTCGAGCATCGACAAAGAGCCGATGGAGGCTGGTATCGACCCAGAAAGGCTGTTGTTGCCAATGTTGAAATAAGCTAGCAAAGGTGTGTTGTTGAATAGATTGTTTGGAATTGAGCCAGTGAGGTAATTCCTCCGGAGGCTCATCAAACCAATGCTTCCTAGGCCCTGCAGCTCTGCGGGGATTGAGCCAGATAGCTGGTTAAATTCGAGGTAAAGAACTCGAAGCCTTGTAAGGTTCCCTATGGTGGCTGGGATGCCACCTGACAGAGAATTGTAGCCAAGCTCAAGAATCTCTAGGCGATGGAGCCTTCCTATGTCTTCTGGGACTGAGCCCGTGAGGCTGGCGTTGGTGAGATTGAGGACGGAGAGGAAAGAGAGGTTACCGAGGTGAGAGCTGAGCTCTCCTTGCAAGGGAATGCCTGGAAGCACCAGGCCAGTGACGCGCTGATGGCGGCGGCCGCATCGGATGCCCACCCAGCGGCAGAACGGTGTGTTGACGGTCCAGTTGCTGGCAAGAATGCCGAGAGGGTCGGCCAGCTGCGCTTTGAAAGCCAGCAGTGCAGCATAGTCAGTGTCACTGCCATTGCTCTTGCTCGGAACTGCAGAAGCACAAGTCACTGCAGACAAAGCGATGATCAGCAGCACAACAGATATCCGTACTGGCATTCTAAACGCCATGTCTGAGCTCTTATGCGTTGGCAAGACAGGAATCATCGGGTTGAGGTTAATTTATATATTTAGCTCTCCATTCAATTGTGCGTGCAGGCATCTGGTTCTGTCTACATCCAAGACCTTCACTATTGCTCAACCTGACGTGAACAAGTCCAACTGTCCACAGTTTTTCCTTCGCTGGTCCATATGGAAATTAGCATGCAACCTTTTCTCTTTCCCAGTTGTGAGTTGTTAACTTGTTGCTAATCAAGACCTTGATAGATAGTGGACAAATAGCTAACTAGCTAGTCATATAAGTCGAATATATTTGACTGCTGACCAATCATATGCAGTAATACAATTTTGAAGTTTGAACGGACTAGAAACTGGAGTAGCCATAGTTCCGTGCACAGCCGGAGATCCTCCCTGTGAAATTATTTTTCGGTACTAATCATCATCAGTAGCCATAGTTCTGTACAATTGCTAGGCAAATTTCTGAAATACTATCAAGAGACATCAAGGACTTGATGCTACAAATGTTGCTGGTAACAATCCAGGCATCCAGCCAGCAGATTGTACACTCTGAGCTAAAAGATCACATCTAAGGCTAAGGAATCTGAGACTGGACAGCTTGCCTAACCATGCATATTTGGCCAAGTGACCACGCGGCGTGCGGCATCCAACAGTAAATCAAGATGCTGTGCTACTTTCAGTCTCTGAAGAAGGATTTCAAGGTATTTGATCTCTGACAACTCCATGAAAATGTGTTTGCTTTTCACAACTCGTATGCTGATTTGAACCATGTCCTGTTTCTTCACATCGTAATCGTGGTAGCTAACTGGCGTGATTCTTCACTTATCTATCTACTACCCATTGGTTGATGATGTTTTTATTCTTACTAAAGATTATCTCTTGAACTGTCGTGTACTCGTTGATTTCGGTATCATCTGTATGTCCTAAATAAGAACTATAATCATATTTCCATTTTCCGTTTAGGCAGTGTGTTCATTGTTCTCTCCATTTCAATGTTATAAATCAAACATTTCAAATCGTAAACAAGATAATATATAATATAAAGAAAACTATCCTGTGACCTATGAGCAGAGGAGGTGTGCCATGCAACCAGTCAAGTCCATGTCTTATGTTGAATGCTTGCACCCAAACTTCAGTCCTTTGTAGTTTAGATTTTTTTTTTAATGTTGGTCTGGACATAAGAATACCTGCGCACAAGATCATTTACTGCCATGTCATGGTGCGTGCAAATTTATGTAGCAGCAGATCAATCACAGATGTACGCAATTTAACTATTGTGTAACTAAGAAACAGAAGAGATTTATTCATATTCATCCATACACATAAAGAAGTAAAGAGTAATTGATGCTATTCTTCTGTTATTCTTAATGCAGAAGCAAATATGGATGCAGAGGATGATTCGTTCTTTCGTATACGCAGTCAAGCAGGGTCAATGGAACACTGCTGTTCGGTTGTCATCTCTTCCCATAGTTGCTATCAACTTGACGTACTCCTTCCTAATATTTTTCAATGTCACGACAACATCACTCATCACCATTCTTTGCTCTGGCGAGTCAGACGAGCAGAGCAAGCCCAATTCAAACACTGGCATAAGAAAGCCATCAATGCTACTGGTAGAAGAAGAGCTGTCCTGTACAAGTTGGCCATCTATGACATGGACAAGGTTTGCAGGAAATGCCTGAAGAACCCACTGCCTGATGTTTAGTTCTCCCACAAACATAGCATCTGTTGGTCTCTTCGCAGTGAACACTTCAAGCAACATGATCCCATAGCTGAATACATCGCTCTTCCGTGACGCTTTACCAAGGGCGCCATACTCTTCTCAAGAAAAAATGACCACCAAACATTAGTTGCACCACTTGATAATTACTCTATAAAAGATCAGCAAGGATTCAGCAAGAACAGATGATACTAGCTTACCTGGTGCCATGTACCCGACTGTTCCTGGCATGCTAGCAGAAATCATGGAGCTATCATCACCTAACAGCAGCCTTGCAATACCAAAGTCTGACACATGCGCCGTCATGTCATCATTAAATAGCACGTTGCTAGGCTTCAAATCACAGTGCAGAACCACCTCACAGTGTTCATGGTGCAGGTATTCCATTGCCATTGAAACGTCTAGCATACTCCCTCCATCCCATAATATAAGGGATTTTGAGTTTTTGTTTGCAACGTTTGACCACTCGTTTTATTCATTTTTTTTTTGAAATTATTATTTATTTTATTTGTGACTTACTTTATTATATACAGTACTTTAAGCACAACTTTTCATTTTTTATATTTACAAAAAAAATTTGAATAAGACGAGTGGTCAAACACTGCAATCGAAAACTCAAAATCCCTTATATTGTGGGACGGAGGGAGTAATATCCAACCGCTCAAGGAAACTTAATTGAATTCTTTGATAAGAGTGTAGGAGTGCCTCTAAGCTTCCATTGGGCATGTACTCAAGAACCAGTGCTCTGAAGTCCTGGTTGGAACAAGTGTTAAGTATCTTTATCAAGTTGCGATGCCTAGCCGTTCTAAGCACCCGGCACTCAGTATCAAAGCTTCTAATGGCATGTTCCATATGTTGGTGTATAACTTTTATGGCAACCACCAAACCGCTGCTCAGCTGACCCTTAAAAACTTTTCCAAAGCTTCCAGAGCCCAACATATTATCATCACTGAAATCATTAGTAGCACGAGCAAGCTCATGGTAGGAGAGTAGTTGATGTCTGGCCATGTCAACCATACCAACAGACATCTTTTGATGCTTAACTTTATATTTAAGAATTACATATAAGCAGCAAGCTACAGCTCCAACTGTGATAATTATAGGAGGGACTAAGTATTTTATGATCCGATGGTTTTTTTTGGGAGAGGTTGTTTGGCATGGTGAAAATCCTAAACGGACAGCACCACATAGCCCTGAGTTCCCAACCAAGGATTCCAGCGTGATGTTTGAGAAGACACCTGTTTCTGGTATTTGACCATGTAGGTTGTTGAAAGATAGGTTCAAGCTGGAAAGGACAGTAAAATTGGCCAGGTATTCCGGGATGGTACCGGAAATATTGTTGTGGGATAGATCCAAAGTTTCTAAGCTGGTAAGCACACGAAAAGAATCTGGAATTGAATTTTGGAATAAATTGACTGATAGGTTCAAGTAGGCTATCATTTGAAGTTCAATTGAATCTGGGAGGATGCCAGTGAAGTGGTTGCTAGAGAGATCCATGATATTCATTTGCTTCAAATAGCCTATATCAGCCGGTAATGCACCACTTAAGAAATTGTGGGACAGATCTAGTTTAACAAGTCTATCAAGATGAAATAAGCTCGGTGGTACAGTGGATGCTAGTTGGTTATCAGATAAATCTAGGTATTCTAACTTGGTCATGTTACTAATGCCCATCGATATGGAGCTGGAGAATTGGTTTGTTCCAAGAAATAATCTTTGAATATTCTTCAGCACGCCGATATTTGACGGGATGGGGCCAAACAAGCTATTTTCACTGAGATCAAGCCACTGTAGTATCTCCAAATCCATGATTGATTCTGATATTGTACTGTGCAGTTGGTTATCACTAAGATCTAGATACTTGAGACTAGTTAAGTTCCAAACTGTAGATGGAAGGACACCGGATATATTGTTTCGACGTGCGATGAATGCTTGCAGCGTGCTTGATAGATTGCCCACATAGTCTGGGAGGTTTCCGGTGAAATAATTTGAGTCGATTTCAAGGACAGAAAGCTTCCTACAGTTGGAAAGAGCAGACAAGAATTTGAGATCCCCTTGTAAGCTATTTTCGAAAATAACAAAGTATGTCAAAGAGTTCATGCTGCCAACTGTTGCTGGGACAGATCCATCCAACAGGTTTGTGCTCAAATCCAGGCGTGATAATGCAGATAAGTTGCCGAGAGAAGCAGGAATGGGTCCTCTTAGTTGATTCCTTGCAATAAGCAAATCTGAAAGTTTTCCAAGCTTTCCAATATCTGCTGGAATGGTTCCTGTTAGGTTGCACGTGCTGAGCTCTAGGGAAGCCAGCATGGTAATGTTGCTTAACGCATCAGGGATTGAACCACCATCGAAGTGATTCTCACCCAAGTTGAGCTTGACGAGATTCGTCAACTTGCCCAGCCATGATGGCAAAGCACCCTCGAATAAGTTCTGAATGAGGGAAAAAACCTGGAGTTGCTGGCACGCCGCAAACCCCTGTGGTATCGGACCGGTGAAATTGTTGGCATCAACGGAGAAAAACCAGAGACTCGGGAGTCTGAAGCTTTCGTTGCCTGGGATAGGGCCAGTTAAGCCGTTCAAGGCAAGAGCAATAACTCCTAGCATAGACATGTTGAAGACGCCTGGTGGTACCGGTCCGGTGAGACGATTGACCTGCAAGTCAAGGAATTGAAGCAAGGTGGTATTGATCCAGAAAGGCTGTTGTTGGCAATGTTGAGGTAAGATAACAAAGGGGTGTTGTTGAACAGACTGTTTGGGATCGACCCAGTGAGGCCATTGTTCCGAATGTTGATGCTGCGAAGGCTGTGCAGGCCTTGCAGATCGGCTGGGATTTGTCCAGAGAGCTGGTTAACCGCGAGACGAAGAACGCCAAGCCTCGTGAGGTTGCCTATGGAGGCTGGGATGACACCTGAGAAAGCATTATTGCCAAGATCAAGGAGCTCGAGGCGATGCAGCCTTCCGATATCGTCTGGGATTGAGCCCGTGAGGTTTGTGATGGTGAGGTTAAGGACGGAGAGGAAAGATAGGTTACCGATGTGAGGGCTCAGCTTTCCTTGGAGGGGAACTCCGGGCAGCTCCACTCCGGTGACACGCTGCTGCTGCCGCCGGCTGCAAGTGATCCCCATCCACCGGCAGAACGGAGTGCCAGCAGTCCAGTTGGTGGCAAGAAGGCTGTAGGGATCGGAGAGCTCGCCTTTGAAAGCCAGCAGCGCAGCGAGATCGGTGTCGCTGCCATTGCTCTTGCTCCTCCCTGGAGGAGAAGC